CCCCTGGCTGAGCAGAGCCCCCTGTGAGCCGAGCCCCTGGCTGAGCAGAGCCCCCTGTGAGCCGAGCCCCTGGCTGAGCAGAGCCCCCTGTGAGCCGAGCCCCTGGCTGAGCAGAGCCCCTTGTGAGCCGAGCCCCTGGCTGAGCTCAGGTTTCCATCTCTGCCGCTTTTGCTGAATCAAGACTCCTCCCATGCCCTCCTTGCAGCTTCCTGGAATACACAGGAGGGGAAGATGGGGGAGACAAGCCTGAGAAAACGGGGCGCAGACGGGAGGTCAGTGCAGAGTAATGAACCCAAGAGCACAAATCTCCAGAAGGAGGTAAGGCTGCTCATGTCCGGTGGGTGGTGAGTGGGGGGCAGGCCTCAGGGTCCCTGTCCCTGGTGATGAGGCGAAGGATGTGACCTTTGATTTGTTAAGGTCATCTTCAAATGAGCGACTCTCCGGGCTTCCTTCACTCCCTCTTGCCTGTGAGCTCAGCATATTCTCTCCGAGTCCATTTTTGTTCAGAACAATGGCCTGTCCAGAGACGGTCAGAGACTTTCCCCAGTGGTCAAGCTTCGCTCAGTCTCTGTCCCACGCGTGTCTGAGTACCTGTAGTGATGGGAGACATTGTTTCAGAGGAGTCTAGCTGGGATGGCCAGGCTGACCTAGGCATGGCGCAGACGGCAGCTCTGAGCCAGAATGTGGTGAGGACAGGAGGCTGGTCCTAGCCGAGAGGAAGGGGGACCTTCTGGGAGGGAGGCAGGTTTGGAGGCAGAAAGGGGCTTAACACCCCACTGTGTGCCAGTCCCAGATGCAGGAGAGCAGCAGGGCCTGGCATGGCGGGACAGCGGGATTCCACGCTCATAGGATGGGGAAAGAGGGCCCCGGAGTGAGGCCACAGCCTCAGCCCAGAGGGCAGAATGAGGGTGCTGTGGTCTGGGCAGGACCTCCAGAAGCTCCCCATCCTGGCCCCAGAGGGGATGGAGGAGGGATGGCACTGAGGCTTGGGGTTTGCTGAGGGGCATGGTGTGGCCTGACTGGGCTGTCCTGGGATCTTGGGTCCCCAGGAGACAGGTGACAGCAGCAGGACCCTCCCTCCCTGCCAGGCTGAGGCCCAATCCCAGCAAGGCCCTTGCAGAGCTGGAGTGGGCCCCTGGCCACACAGGCAGCTTCAGGCTGGATGCCGACCTCATCTGTGTCAGGAGGGAGGCTTCTGGAGGGCCCCAGATGTTGGTGAGTCAAACCACCGGCTCTAGGGAGTAGAGGCCAAGAACTGTGTCCTGGCTCTGTGGCTGGAAGGCAGCCGGCACAGCCTCGGGGCCCTCACCTGTGTGTGCTGAGGCCCCTAGTGGCCAGCTTGCCACCAGGGTCTCTCTCTTCCCCCAGGAATCTAACCGGAAGCATGGCCCCTGTCCAGGCAGCTGGATGCCGGCATTAGAAACTTCTTGCTCTGGAAATCCAGTCTGGGCAGCTGCTGAGGCCTGATGTTAGCAGCGTGGCTTGAGTCAGGCTGTGTGTGTGTTTAACAGTACTCTCCCCCCTGGATTGGGGTATAATTCACATTCAGTGAAATGTGCAGGCTTCAGTGCTCAGTATGATGAGTTTTGACAAGCGCCCACCTTGGAAAGCTCCCTGGCGCCCCAACCTGGAATTTCCAACACAGTGCATCAGTCCGTCTGGCCCTGAGCGTCATGGTCCTGGGATCATAGTCCCTACCTGAGCTCTGTTTGTTCTCAGAAAGGGAACATCCTAGAAAATGGTACCAGGGAAAGTTCATAGTCCCTGGATCTTTCTGTTTCCAGGGGGGCCTCCACTGCTCACCCCCACTTGGCTGTCTGGCCAGGACTCTAAGACTTTTTTTTTTTATGGAGATAGAGTCTCACTTTGTCACCCTGGGTAGAGTGCTGTGCCACCACAGCTCACAGCAACCTCAAATTCTTGGGCTCAAGTGATTCTCCTGCCTCAGCCTCCTGAGTAGCTGTGACTATAGGTGCCTGCCACAATGCCCAGCTAGTTTTTCTATTTTTAATAGAGATGGGGTCTCACTCTTGCTCAGGCTGGTCTTGAACTCCTGAACTCATGTGATCCACCTGCCAGGATGCTGAGGTTACAGGCACGAGTCGTGGGGCCCAGCCAGGACTCCCCGTCCTTAACTTCACTCTGCTTTGGTGAACTCTGCTCCTCTCTGTCCAGCTGTGAGGCACGTCCCAGGGCCCTTCTTGTAGGCTGACTTTGCCGAGTCAGCCTTTCTGCTGAGGGGAACAGGGAACCTGAATGGGCTCCCCCTGCCCTCGGCTGTGTGACCAAGGGCAGTACCGAGTGACACGCATACCCAGTTCATGGGGCTGTCACAAGAATTAGGAAACTTGGCATGTGTGAAGCCCTGATAACAGTGCTGTCATCTCTGTGACAGCACAGAGTGCCAGGGCCTGGGACAGGGGGCTCAGCTGGGGCTGCCCCGGCCACACCCAAAATGGGTGGAGAGGATGGCATCTGGCCATCCGCAACGGGCCCTGGTGGCAGCACTGACCCCCCTCCTCCCGCCACCCCGAGGTGGGGCTGGTCAGCGGCATCTGTATCATCGTGGGCACCATCATCGGCTCTGGCATCTTCATCTCCCCCAAGTCTGTGCTGAGCAACACGCAGGCCGTGGGGCCCTGCCTCATCATCTGGGCCGTCTGCGGGGTTCTCGCAACACTGGGTAACAACACTGCCCCCCACCCCCGTCCCCGACCCCGACCCCGGGGTGAAGTTCTTCCAGTTAAACTGGGGAGGGCAAACTATATGAATAAGGGTCCTGCTGCTGCTGGCTCCCGCTTCATGCAAATAATCATTAGTCTGGCTGCAAGTCAATGTCCAGTGGCTGAAACTCAGGGCCTGGCCCACTGAGGGAGGACCACAGCAGGCCCCTGTGCACACAGCCCCCAAGGGGAGGAAGGCTCCTGGGGACCAGGACAGCTCCTCACGAAGGGAATGGGGACCTTCCTGTGTTCCAGGAGCTCTGTGCTATGCAGAGCTTGGCACGATGATCACCAAGTCGGGTGGCGAGTACCCATACCTGATGGAGGCCTACGGCCCCATCCCCGCCTATCTCTTTTCCTGGACCAGCCTGATAGTCCTGAAGCCCACATCCTTCGCCATCATCTGCCTCACCTTTTCTGAGTACGTCTGCACGCCCTTCTACGCCGGCTGCAAGCCCCCGGAAATTGTCGTTAAATGCCTGGCTGCCGCCGCCATCCGTGAGTGCCTGAGCCTGAAACCCCGGGGGAGGGGTCAGAAAAAAGGTGGCACAAGTGATACAAGGCCAAAAGGAGGCCTCTGGTCTTGACCCCTCACTGGGGTCAAGTGAGCTGAGGGATCTGGTGAGAAGCAGGCACTAGCACTGACCTTGCAGTCTCTGTGGGTGCCACCTGCTGAGAAGCCCCTGGCTTGTTGGGGCTACAGGGGGGCCTTTCCTGCCACCGGCTGTCCCCCCACAGGCAGCACCTTCACTTGGCTCAGGGCCGACCCCTCTCTGCCACCCTCAGCTGGATATCAAAGGTCCCTTGTTGGGGTCTGTCCTCCTAGCATCCGGCTCAGTGTGGCAGTAGACAGGAGACTCTCTCCAGGGTCTGTTGAAAACCACCCCTGTGGGATGTCTCTGTCCCCTCCCCACCCCTGCCCTGCAGTGCTCATCACGATCGTGAACTCTCTGAGCGTGCGGCTGGGGAGCTACGTGCAGAATATCTTCACTGCAGCCAAGCTGGTGATCGTGGCCATCATCATCATCAGTGGATTCGTCCTCCTGGCCCAAGGTGACTGAGGCAGGACAGGGAGAGTGCCACCCCCCGTGCCCCCCACCTCCTTTGCATCTGGAACAGTCTTGCCCCATCAGCACCTCATGGCGGGAACGTAGCAGGGGGAATTTTTAGCTTCCAGATTTTCAGTTTGCTTAGTAACCTGAGGTCACAGCTCACCCCCTTGTTCCATAAGGAGATGATCCCAAACTCTGATCAGCTGACACCCGCTATGCACTATCTGACCTAATTACAGGAAATACAAAGAATTTTGAAAATTCTTTTGAGGGCGCAGATGTGTCTGTGGGGGCCATCAGCCTGGCATTCTACAACGGACTCTGGGCCTATGACGGATGGTAAGGTAGCCCCGGGGGTCCCCAGTCTGGTGGTGGCTTCTTCAGGCTATTGGAGAAGGCGATTTTTCTCCTTTCTAGAGTTTGGCACGACCCTAAAAAATTCATCTCCACATTTCCCTTTTGTGAGGCTCCCGCCCCCTCACCCTTCCATTTCCCTTGAACCCCTTGGACATTGAGACACCAGCCCCTGCCCCCGGGGCGGTGTCCTGTGGGCAGGCTGTGATGGCCCTTGTGCAGAATTCTCACCAGGCAGATACAGGCTCAGCCGGACCAGGGCCTCCCACGCTCTTCACAGGGCAGGCATACCCGGCAGACTTCTGTTTGATCCCTGGAATTAGCAGGTTCAGTTGGCAAGACTCTGTTTATGGCCACCCTGATGCTGGCTTTCCTCCTCTGCAATCATAGGTTCCATTATCTTTTCAGACAAAGATTCTGGGTTTTTTTTTTTGCAGTTTTTGGCTGAGGCTGGGTTTGAACCTGCCACTTCCGGTATATGGGGCCAGCACCTACTCCTTTGAGCCACAGGTGCTGCCCCAAAGATTCTATTTTTTAAAGCACCTGGGGACTCACTTTTCCCAGCTATTCTTGAAAATGCATGTGCTTCTCCTAGAGGGTAATGAAAGATTTGACCAAAGAACAGATGTGTAAACCTCGAGCTTTCCTAGAAAAACAAAATTTTTTTTTTTATTGTTTGGGATTTGTTGAGGGTACAAAGAATTAAGTTAGGCTTGGAGCCGGTAGTACAGTGGTTATGGCACCAGCCACATACACCAAGGCTGGTGGGTTCCAACACGGCCTGGGCCAGCTAAACAACAGTGACAACTCCCCAGAAAAATAGCCGGGTATTGTGGCAGGTGCCTCTAGTCCCAGCTATTTGGGAAGCTGAGGCAAGAGAATCACTTAAGCCCAAGAGTTGGAGGTTGCTGTGAGCTGTGACGGACGGTACATCACTATACTGAGAGTAACATGGTGAGACTCTGTCTCAAAAAAAAAAAAATAGCTGAGCATTGTTGTGGCCACCTGTAATCCCAGCTATTTGGGAGTCTGAGCCAAGAGAAGTGCTTAAGCCTAAGAGTTAGAGGTTGCTGTGAGCTGTGACACCATGGCACTCTACCAAGGGCGACATAGTGAGACTCTGTCTCAAAAAAAATAAATAAAAATAAAAAAGGTTACACTGATTGCATTTATTAGATAAACTCCTTCTTCTAATTGTGTCCCACCCCCAAGAAGTGTGCCATATATTGTATCTTCCTCCCTCCTCCCCTCCTAGAAAAAAAAATTTTTTTTTTGAGACACTCTGAGTCTTACTATGTCGCCCTTGGTAGAGTGCTGTAGCATCACAGCTCACAGCAATCTCAAACTCTTAGGCTTAAGCTGTTCTGTTGCCTCAGTTTCCCAAGTAGCTGGGACTACAAGTGCCCACCACAATGCCCGGCTATTTTTCAGTTGCACTTGTCATTGCTGATTTTAGCTGGCCCGGCTGAGTTTGAACCCTCCAGCCTTGGTGTATGTGGCTGGTGCCATCACCGCTGTGCTACAGCCGCCGAGACTGTCCTAGAAAATCTTTACCCTGAAATTCCTGCAGAATTTTCCCTATGGTGGAAAATCTTAAACATGATTGAATGTTTCACAATCTTTTTTTTTTTTTTTTTTGAGATAGCGCCTCAAGCTGTGTCCCTGGGTAGAGTGCTGTGGCATCACAGCTCACAGCAACTTCCAACTCCTGGGCTCAAGCGAGTCTCCTGCCTCCGCCTCCCAAGTAGCTGGGACCACAGGTGCCTGCTACAATGCCTGGCTATTTTTGGTTGCAGCCGTCGTTGTTGTTTGGCGGGTCTGGGCTGGGGATTCAAACCCGCCACCTTAGGTGTACGTGGCTGGCGCCTTAGTCAGTTGAGCCACAGGCACGGAGCCATGTTTCACAATCTTAAAGTCAAGGTATGACACTCATGTTAACTTTTCTATTTCTAGGAATCAACTCAATTATATCACAGAAGAACTCAGAAACCCCTACAGGTAAGAAAGCTGAGCCGGGATGGGGGACGGGGGACAGGCGGCACATTTCACGAGGCAGAACGCAGAGCTGCTGCCTCCTGCCGTCACTCACCCTCTTCCACACAGCAAACCTGTGGCAGTTCTGTTCTGTTTCTGGCAGTGGCAGGTTGCTGGAGGGAGGGAGGAGCTCTCGCTTCCTTTACCTCAGCTCCCTTTGCTTCATTTTCTCACCCTGCAGTCTTGGAGAGGGAGAATTCTCATTGGAGAATGTCCCACGTCCCTGCTGGGACTCTGCTGTAGCACAAATCCCCTTCCTGGGCAGACCTTGGGAGGGAGGCAGCTCCTCACCATGGGAGCAGGTGCAGGGCCAGCTGGGGAGGGCAGGAGGAGAGGACTGGACAAGACAAGCCCCCAAGTCTCTGGAGGGATGCCCCAGTCTGCCCCTGGGGTCCATGTCACGGCTCCCCCCAGAAACCTGCCCCTGGCGATCGTCATCGGGATCCCTCTGGTGACCGTGTGCTACATCCTCATGAACGTGTCCTACTTCACCGTGATGACGGCCACCGAGCTCCTGCAGTCCCAGGCTGTGGCTGTGGTGAGTGCCCAGGCAGATGGCAGGGTGGGGATGGGCCAGGCCAGGGGTTCAAGCCAAGTGCAGGTGCCCATACAGGCTAGGAGGGCAGTCGTCATCTAGAAGCCTGGGAGAGGGGACGGAAGAGGGCAGGCCCGAGCCTCACCTGAGGTGACAGGCTGGAATTCGGTCACACTTTAGTGGGCTAAGGGCCCCATGGGCACCGCCGCACAGCACTGAACAGAGCTGGAGGGCAGGCTGGTCAGCCAGGGCTGGGCTTTTGTTTTTTGAGACAGAGTCTCACTCTGTCCTCCTGGGTAGAGTGCTGTGGTGTCACAGCTCACAGCAACCTTAAACTCTTGGGCTCAAGTGATCCGATCCTCCTGCCTCATGCTCCTAAGTAGCTTGGACTACAGGCATCTGCCACAACACCTGGCTAGTTTTTCTATTTTTAGTAGACAGGAGTCTCACCTTGCTCAGGCTGGGCTCCAACTTCTGAACTCAGGTGATCAACCCACCTCAGCCTCCCAGAGTGCTGGGAGGATGTGCTGAGCCTCGCCCAGGATTAGGGTTTTGACTAACAACCATGAAGGGAAGAGAGAAAGGGGGCGAGGGCACCATCATGGGGGGCATGCATTTGAGCAGAGGAAGGAGGGAACAGACCTGAGCGAGGTGGAAGGGGGCGGGTGTGAGCCGGGGGCCGTGAGCTGCAGCTGGAAACAGAGAAGGAGGTGACGGGACTCGAGGGGGGCACCGGAAGGAAACAGAAGTGACTAAAGATTGTGCCAGGGAGGGGTGGGATGAGATTTCTGTCCCCTGGGAGGGCACAGTACCTTTTTTGGACCAGTGGCTCTTGAAGACCATGAAAGGCCCTGAGGATTCAACTCACTTCTCTTGCCAGACGTTTGGTGACCGCGTTCTCTATCCAGCCTCTTGGGTCGTCCCACTGTTTGTGGCGTTTTCAACCATTGGTGCTGCTAACGGGAGCTGTTTCACAGCAGGCAGGTAGGGACCCCGGCCCCACACCCCCCGGTGGGCGGGGCCAGTCTCACCCTGAGGAGGTCGAGGGCCAAGGTCCCCAGGCCCCTCCAAGTGAAGCCCCTCCCTGCACGAGCAGGGAACTGTAAGCTCAGAGACCAATTTGGGGAGGTCTGCGTCTCAAAGGCACCGAGTCTTCCCATCCATGGGTGGACTGTTTATTCAGCTCTTTTTTTTTTTTTTTAAATGATTTCTGAGTAGTTTTTGGTACACAGTTCTTGTACATCTTTGGTCAGATTTATTCCACAGCATTTCATATCGTTTCATACTATTATAAAATGTATTTTTTAAAAGTTTTAAATTTCATTTTCTGATAGTTCATTGGTTATATGTACAGACACAATTTTAACAACTCTACTGAGAGGCAGGGAGTGGTGGTTCACACCTGTAATCCTAGCGCTCTTGGAGGCTGAGATATGCAGATCGCTTGGCTCAGGAGTTCCAGATCAGCCTGAGCAAGAGCGAGACCCCATCTCTGCAAAAAGAAAAAAACAAATAGCTCTACTGAGGTACAAATACTGTACTACTCACTCTTTGGAGTGAAAATTTATTAGGCTGTGCAAGTATCCAAATCCAGTTTTAAAACATTTCTGTCATCCTGCCTGATGGGTTAACCCATTTCTACCTCCAGCCCTAGGCAACCATTGACCTGTCTCTGTAACTTTGCTTTCCCCAGGCATGTTAGCGGAATGCACCCTGAGTCCTTCCAAAGCTGACCTCTGTTACGTAGTGTGACATTTCTGAGGCTCATTTGGGTCATAGCATGTTTTAAGTTCATTCCTTTTAATTGCTGAGATTATCTCCACTGCGTGGAAATACAATTTGTCCTTTCACTAGCTGATGAATGCTTGGGTTATCTATTCGTTATTGTATTGCGGAAAAACAAAAAAGAAAAAACTCAGAATAGTGTTGCTATGAACATTCACGTCTGTCTGTGTGTGGACAGACGGTTTAATTTCTCTGGGAAATTCCTAGGAATGGAATTGTCATAAAATAATTTAATGGTAACTTTTTTTTTTGAGATAGAGTCTCACTCTGTGCAAATATCCAAACCCGATTTTTGGCAACTTCTTATTCCTGGTGTGGAGATTCGGCACTACCTGCCCTTGTTGCTGAAGGCAGTTCACTGTGGCTTCATGGACGGACTGAGGAAGTTTTCCTCCTTTTCCACTGTAGGTGTCTGCTTTCCTTGCTACATCTCTCCAAGGACTCATGTTCACGTTTTTGGGTGTAGTTAACTGTGGTCTTGCTAACACCAACATGTTCCACCACCCTTCTTTGGCTACTAGTTTCCAGAAAATGCAGAAGGTCAGCCTTTCCGTCAAGGTCAGCTCCTCGAGTTCTCTCCTCTGGGCCACCCTGAATCCATGAACTGTAGAAGTTTCCAGTAATCATAGGATGTACCTACAATCCAGGCCAGCCCTTAATGTGGGCGATGTCTTCCACAAAACATGATAAACAAAAGGACGTCAGGCCTCATCCCACACATGGCAAAACAAAACGTGAAAGAGCTTCTACTAAAGAAAAGATAATGCAATTAGTGGGCAAAGCCCACACCGTCTACCCGGGGTGTAGGACGGACTCAACTCATCAAGTTAGGGAAGGGAAATTAATTTGTCACAGTCCAAGTGGTCAAGATACAACTTGCAGAGGGGTCAACAGACAGAGGCCAGTTTTCCACTGAGTATGTGTGGTGCGTGTCTGTCTGTGAAAATTAGGTCAACATAAGGAGGTGGTCAGTGTGGGGAGGTGGTCAACTATAGAGGTTCTACTGTATGTATTTGTGGAGAACTGATGAAATTTGAAGAGTTCACGCCATTCCTCTTGAACTTAAATCTCCCTTCCAGCAACTCCCACCCTCCTTCACTACCTTGTTCTTTTTTTTTTGACAAGAGTTTGACTATGTTGCCCTGGGTAGAGTGCTGTGGCATCACAGCTCACAGCAACCTCAAACTCTTGGGCTCAAGCAATTCTCTTACCTCAGCCTCCCGAGTAGCTGGAACTACAACACGGGGCTATTTTTTGGTTATCGCTATCATCGTTGTTTAGCTGGCCCGGGCAGGGTTTGAACACACCACCCTCCGTGTATATGGCTTGGGCAGTAACCACTATGCTACGGGAGCCGAGCTATCACTACCTTGTTCTTAATATGAAGTTTTTAATCATTTCCAAATTTAAATATATAGTTCTGTTGTTGAGTCTTTTGGCCTTTGTGACTTCTAATTTTATCCCGCTGTAGTCAGAGTAGGTGGTATTTATATTAATTCTTCAGAAGCTTTAACATCTCCTTTGTGGATCATTGAAATTTTTATTTCCTATGATCTTGGAAATAACGTATCGTGCAATGGCTTCTAGAGTCTATGCCCTCCCCAGGCTTGTAGCTCTCCTGCTCGAATCTTACACGCCAACAGTGGGGTTTGACAAGTCCGTCTTCTGTTTCAAGGGCTCCTGGTTTTTATATCTTCTTGGTGGACTGTTCCTTTTTTCCAGGAGCAACTCTTTTTAAAAGCCTTAAATTCTGTAGTGTTTGACAATTGCAGCACCAGCTGATCTTCAGGTTGTTTTCAGTAATGTGTCCCATCCCTTTAATCTTCACCTTGTCAGTGTCACTGGGCTTCAGCTGGTATTTTTATGCATCTGAGCTGTTCTTTTGATTGTTTTTCCTCTCGAAATCATGGATCATACTTTGTGCAGTATAGATTTCATGCTGCTGGGTGCCAGGTTTATTGTGCTGCTTTAGATAATGTTGGAGTTGGTTCTGGTGCACACTTACCTTACTAGAGAGCAGGGGGCTCCTTTTGAAGCTTGCTTTTGTTGGGGAGGCTGACGCCTTTAATGCAGGGCTAGTTCAGCCCCACTGCTCCTTCAGTAATGCTCTCATGGGGGTTCTACCCGACGTCCCTTACATCAGAAGGTCTTTTTACTCTGGCATTGGGGCTAAGGTGCTGTTTCCTGTTCTGCACTGATGTCATGAATTGTTCTGCGTCCCCATCACTAGTGTTTTCCCTCTGCCGGGGGCCCTTTCATCTCACACATGTGCCGGTCAGCACTGGGCTGAAGACTTGCAGTGACCCCCGAAAATGCTCCAGAGTCTTTTCCCCTGGGAAACGCCCTCCCCTCCATCACCCTGATCTTTTCTTTTTGAGACAGAATCTCACTCTGTCATCCTTGGTAGACTGTTGTGGCGTCACAGCTCACAGCAACCTCAAATTCTTGGGCTTAGGTGATTCTCTTGCCTCAGCCTCCCAAATAGCTGGCACTACAGGCGCCCGCCACAACACCGGGCTGTTTTTTATGTGTTGCAGTTGTCATTGTCGTTAAGCAGGCCCAGGCCAGGCCAGAACCCACCAGCCTCGGTGTATGTGGCTGGGCCCTACTCTCTGAGCTACGGGCGCCAAACCACCACCCCCTGACCTTTGATCTCTGGCTCCACTAAGCATGTGCATCCGGGTTTTCCCTCCTCCAGGCTGTAGGGTGCAGCAGGTGGTTTCTCGTCTTCACTCTCCCAGGGATCACAGTACCGCACAGCCTTTGTCCAAAGTCTGAGAAACTGCTGCTTTTATATTCTGCTTGGTTTCCCAGCTGAAGGGTCAATCTAGTCTCTGTAACTGAACCTCAGCTAGAAGCAGACGTCTTTGTATTTTCACCATTCTTCTTTAACCCTTTATTACTGATCCATGTCAACTATTTATCCAATAAAATAATAGGTAAATTAGTTCTCAAAGAAATGACTTCTGGATTTCTTACATGCTACTTTTGTTTTCTTGACTTAAAAAAATCATATCCATTGAATTTTCTTTACTGGCATTTGTCTTCTTCTGATATGGAGGTTATGTGTCTATCCTTTTAATGATCACCCTTATAATTTGACATGGATAACTAACAGATATCAGTATTTCATTCTCTTTCCTGTCTTACAGGGCTCTCCCTTTTCATATTAAAACCTTGTTTATGAACTTGTTCCTCCAAAAGCAGTTTGTTACAAAATAAATAAATCCAATCCCTATCTGCACACGGACGCTTTACCGCTTTCTCCATAACACTGCTTCTTGTTGTCAACTCTGAGTTACAGTTACGCCTCGTAGTTTATTTAAAAAGGGATTTATTGCAGTAGTCTGGAATGATAGTTTACCCACATAGAATTCTAAAATGAAAATCAGTTTCTCTTACCATTTTGGAAATATTATTTCTCCTATGTCTCCTATTGTTCTTATTCTCCCAATTCTATCGTAATTTTTGTTTTTGAGACAGAGTCTCACTCTGTACCCTGGGTAGAGTGCTGTAGCATCATAGTTCACAGCAACCTCCAACTCCTGGGCTTGAGTGATCCTCCTGCCTCAGCCTCCCAAGTAGCTGGGACTACAGGTACCCATCACAATGCTGGGCTGGTTTTCTATTTTTACTAGAGATGGGGTCTCATTCTTGCTTAGGCCGATCTCAAACTCCTGAGCTCAAGGGATCCACCCACCTCAGCCTCCCAGAGCACTGGGATGACAGGCCTGAGCCACCGCGCACGGCTCTTCTCTGATCTTTCAAAGTCTTTCAGTTCATGACGTATCAGGAGTTCTTGGGTGGGTGGGGAAAGGGAACGAAGCCACTTATCTGTTGATTCACCCTTAATTTGCTGGTTGCTTTAAAATCTGGAGATTCTCTGTGATGAGATTTTGGAACAGAAGCTGCAAGGTGCCCTGTGTTTGTGTCTGTCCAGCACCTGGGAACGGGGCCCCAGGTCCTGGCCTGGAATTTACACTTGTTTCTTGCATAACTTTGCAGTTTTTCCTCTGAAGAGGCCTCTCCAAACCACCCTGCTCCCTCTCCCTGCTGGGTGCCCCCACTGTGGCAGGTGCATTTCACTCCCCTCCAGAGGGCAGGCCACGGTCTGCAGATGCTGGCCCGCTCAGTCCCCTTCTCTGTGGTTCGTTCTGGAACCCCAGACGCTTCTTCAGGGGCAGGGGAACAACCGGCAGTCTGGTCACTGACTATGGTTGGTCATCTTTTCAGACTCATTTTCGTGGCGGGCAGGGAAGGCCACATGCTCAAAGTGCTCTCCTACATCAGCGTCCGGCGCCTGACCCCCGCACCCGCCATCATCTTCCACGTGAGTACGAGGCTGCCACAGGGGCGCCGACCTCAGCCGTGGGTGCCCCAGACTTCCTCAGTCCTCGACATGAAACAGATACAGAAAAGCCCAAGAAAATATAAACAACTTAGCCAGCTTCTGCTCCTTTTTCTGAATTTATCCATGAAAGACACTGTTTGAGCCCTCCAAGCTTGTTCCCACTACGCTTCTGACATGCATGTCCCTTTGTCTCTTCTGGGTGGTTGGTCACAAACTACAGCCGAACCTCCACAGCTGGCCATCTCCCTACCCTGACCACCGCGAGGTGACCTAATTTTCATAGCGCAGACATGCACCGCATGCACGGATCAGTGCAGTGGGCCTAGATCCTTCTGCTGACCTCACCCGTGTGGCCCTGGGCGGTCAGCGTACAGAGGTTCTACTGTATATAAAAACCCACTAGCGTACAGGGAGGGAGAAAAGGCACTGCACCAGGCGGTTACTGACAGTCGCATTTCCTTATGGACTGATAATTTAGAAGTCCCGGGATCTTTGTGGAGTAACATCTCCTAACTGGAGTCTCTTAGGGGCAGACAGTCCTTGGCTGCAAATTTTCTGGGCACCAAGATACTGTTCTTGGCCTCAGTGCCAGGTAACCTCCACCACCCCCAGCAGAACCACTGCTGTCTATCAGCCCACTTACCCTGAGGACCAGCAACCAGACCCCAGAGTGGGGATACCAGTCCAGGGCTGTCTGTGCAAATGATGCAGGTCAGAATCAGACTTGAGTCTCACAGTCCAGGGCCCTGCTGTGAGGACGGCTCTCTGGGAGGTAAATCCATAGCTGTGAAGCTGGTACAATATACACATATATTTGGGGTTTTCTTTGCTTAAAATCACGACGTCACAATTCAAAAATTTATCAGGTCTTTTCTGTTAGACTTTATTCAAAAAGAGCATTCTCATAGCCCCGGTCAAGTTTAACCTCAACTGTAACAGGACGGGGAGTTTCTCTCGAGATAGAGAAGAGTGCCTCTGTAGCCTCTGTAGCCTGTGCCGTGTTTACAGCAGAGCTTTGATGTGCCAGTGACCTACAAATTCGTTCTTCTTCCAACCAGGCGATCATAGCCATCTTTTATATCATCCCTGGTGACATCAACTCCTTAGTGAATTATTTCAGTTTTGCTGCGTGGTTATTTTACGGCATGACGATTCTAGCCCTTGTCGTGATGCGGTTCACGAGGAAGGAACTGAAAAGGCCGATTAAGGTAAGTTGAGAGCCCAAAGTCACAGGTGCCTGTGGTTTCCAAAAAATGAATTAGAGGTAACTATCTCAAATACTGGGTGCATGCCTTCTCTCCCCAGTCTGACTCGAGTGTCAGATTTCACAGTGGAGTTTGCTCTTTATTTCATATTATCATTTATGATCCAGTCACTTAATTATTCAACACCTATGACCTGTCTCTCTTGTGGCCTGGTTCTGGCAGTGCTGGTGTCTCTCACACAGTCCTGTCTCTCATCTCCTGGTGTCTCTCACACGTACACTTTGCACAGATTGGCAGGGACTTCTCAGCTCTGGCCCCAGACCTGCTCCTGTGCCTACAACCACCAGCAGCCCAACCTGCCCGTCCCCGCAGGGCTGGTGCCGTCTATATACCAGAGGGGAGAAAGTAGAATGCGTTTCAGTTTTCTTGTGTTTAGGGCTGTCTTGTTTTGAACCACTGCGCTATTTAGTCCTAACAGACAGGTGTGAATATAAGAAACAGTGAGGCAAGGCGAGGACTTAAGAAATTAGGACATGAATAAAGATAAGGTCCAAACTTCAGAGTTTTATTTCAGAAGTCTGTTTAATGATCTTTCTGGCATTGTATCTTGACTACCACTGAGTCTCTGGAGTCAGCTAAGGCCCGAATCAGCCAGGCTGGAGTCCAGCAGTTCCACCCCAATCGGGCCACGTAGCAGGCAAATGACACTGGCAGCATAAATTATGGATAGGTACAAAATCCCTCATTCAAACAGGCAGAGCCACTAAGACAGTAAAGGGAACCCTTATAGCCGACATCTTCAACACAAAATGAGGAAATGAGATATCACCACAAAACTCAGACTCTGCATGGAAGCCCCTGAGCCCCAGGCCCCCTCGGGAGGAAGACCCGAGCCCTGCCACGCAGAAGGGGAGCAGCACTGCCATGGCCTCAGCCCTGCAGGGGGTCCAGAATGTCCTCGCAGAAACTCCTTTCCAGAAGGCAACACTGAAAATCAGCAACTGCTCGGATGAAAAGCCACACTGAATTTGTCAAGAACATGGGGGTCAAGATGAAGCCTGGGCACACGTATCTCAGCTGCAGAGAAGCTGGGTGATGTCAGTACTTCAAAATGTCATTTTAGGGAAAAAAAATCATTTCAGAAGTAAAGAATAAGCACAAAGGACAAGAGGGAACATGACAGCCAAGGAGCCTGTTGGGAGATAAGGAGGGAAGTGGGGAGACTCTAACAGATGAGAAGGAGTCTGATGCATTCACAACTGGAGGCCCTGAAGAGGAAAGGAAGGTAGAATTCTAAAAACCACAATTCCAGAAATAGTTCCTGTCGTGGGAGGGAAAATGGGGAGTAGGGCTTGAGCCACCAAAGTAAAAGACACACCATGTAATTAGGAAATGTGAGTGAGGCAATGAAAATGTTTTGATGGAATTACAGAGCGTTAAGAACATGCCCTGGGCGTCCACTCCCCTTGTTCTGTCCCTAGCTCCATCCACGATTTCGTTATAAAGGAAAGAAACTACCACTAGCATCAGAATTTTACCACCCATGCTGTAAGACAACGGACAGACATATTTAACATAGTCAAAAAAAGAAAATATAAGCTAGAGATTTTATATCCAGCCAAACTGACCTTGGAGAATAAAGTCTGCAGTTGCTAGTATGAAGAACTCTAGGCATTACATGAGAACTGCCCTGAGGAGTCACCTAGAGAATCACGCCAGCGTCATGTGCTGGCAACACAACACTGTGGGCAGTGCGTGCCAACTAAGGAGCCCAGGCCAAGCCACTGCCGACAGAAGGTGCTCTGTTACCAGTGCGGAGGACCTGCCACGCGTGTAGGTCCCAGGATGCTGGGAGGCTGAGGTGGGTGGAGTGCCTGAGCTCATGAGTTAGAGACCAGCCAGAGCCAAGTGAGACCCTGTCTCTTAAAAAAAAACAAAAAAAAAACTCGCATGTTGTGGCGGGCACCTGTAGTCCCAGCTACTCAGGAGGCTGAGGCAAAAGAATCGCTTAAGCCGAAGAGCTGGAGGTTGCTGTGAGCTGTGACACCACAGCACTCTACGGAGGGCAACAGAGTGAGACTCTGTGTCCAAAAAAGAAAAGGTACCATTTTAACATTTATTTTTTAATTTTTAGAGATAGGGTCTTGCTTTGCGGCCCAAGAGCTCCTCCCACTTCAGCTTCCTCAGTAGCTGGACTACTGGCATGCTTACCCAGCTGAGTTTTGTTTCTCTTTTTGATGGAGATGGGGTCTTTATGTTGCTCAGGCTGCTCTCTCTAACTCCTGGTCTCAAGGCATCTCCCACCTCAGCGTCCCAGAGTGCTGAGGTTAACAGGTGTGAGCCACTTTATATTATAGAAGGATATAATACTTTAGTGCCCTATTTTTTTAGATATTAGTTATGATACTATTAATAAGGTATTACATAGTTATAATAGTTACAGTAACTCTCAGAACAAAAACACAGCCTTTATATGTACCAAAAAATATATTAAAAAAAACAAAAAACAAGAAAAGCGAGGCACAGCGGCCAAGCCTCTTATCTCTACGTGGGAGGCTGATGCAGGATGCCCAAGCCCAGGAGTCTGAAGCTCTGCTGCACTGTGCTTGCCCCTGTGAACAGTCTGCATTCCAGCTGGGGCAACACAGCAAGGCCTTGTCTCTGGACAGAAAGGTGGGGGGAGGGCACAAAAGTCGCAGCCCCTACTGTACCAGCCCTCATGTGCGGGGACTGGCCGGGTGCCCATCAGGACATCTCCTGGTTGACACCTCCTTGCTAGGGTGCTCATTACGCTTCTCTGTTATTGCTGTTTTCTGCTCATTTGTTTTTAACACCCCGAAACTTTATTAGTATCTATGAATCCCTTAGCACTTCCATTTACATCTGATATTTATGGGAAAAAGCTAACATTTACATTCTCAAAAGGCAGTACGAATTTTTTTTTTTTTAGAGACAGAATCACACAGCTCAGCAACCTCCAACTCCTGGGCTTGGGCGATTCTCTTGCCTCAGCCTCCTGAGTAGCTGGGACTACAGGTGCCGGCCACAACACTCGGCCATTTTTTATTGCAGTTTGGCCGGGGCTGAGTCTGAACCTGCCACCCTCAGCATATGGGGCTGGCACCCTACTAGCTGAGCCACAGGCGCCGTCTAGGCAGTACAAATTTTTAATAAAACGTGTGATCAACATTTCAAGTTGCCTTTCAAATGCCACACACACCAGAGTTAGGCACAGGTGCACCAGAGAGGCAGGAAGGCCGTGCGACTGCACTCAAGGCTGCCGTTCGTCAGCAGCCACGGTAACTGCTTGGCCACCAGGAAATCTGTTTAAACCAGTGCACTATCTTATATAACAGGTGTTGGGCACTGTGCTATTTAGATATGTGCACTTACTGTGTTTTAAACGGATTTAAGGACACTACTTGGGAATTAGGGTTTTATACCATGCGTGATAGTTTTTCCCATTTAAAATAAGGGAGATGGGCCCCTGGGGAGTGTCTGTGCAGAATGTCACACACAGAGAGCTGTCAGTCAGTAGAAGGTGCTCCTGCAGAGAGACATGAGGCACTGTGCATGGGGACCTGCCCATCAGCTGTGTGAACAAACGACTCACTCGGTTTCAACAGGCTGAAGTCAGCCATTAAAAGAAAAAGATTTTTTTTTTTTTTTTTTTTGAGACAGAGCCTCAAGCTGTCCCCCTGGGCAGAGTGCCGTGGCATTACAGCTCACAGCAACCTCCAACTCCTGGGCTCAAGCGAGTCTCCTGCCTCCGCCTCCCAAGTAGCTGGGACCACAGGCGCCCGCCACAACGCCCGGCTATTTTTTGGTTGCAGCCGTCATTGTTGTTTGGCGGGTCCAGGCTGGGGATTCGAACCCGCCACCTTAGGTGTACGTGGCTGGTGCGTTAGCCGGTTGAGCTATAGGCGCCGAGCCAAGAAAAAGATTTTTTTCAGGTAGGTCTTCAAAGCTGTAAAAATTAAAAGGACAGGCAGAGTTATTCAGGCCAATGAATGCACAAAAGTGGGGGCTGTGATTCTTATCCCGTAATGCTAGGCCCAAAGCATGACTTAAAAGACCACGCAGTTATGCTAAAGGCTCAAACTCATGACAAGGATATCAGAGTTAGAAAACCTATCTACCAACCTGGACAGCAGCCGTGTCAACAAAGCAGAAACCCTGGGAAATAGGAGAAGCAGACACCAGAGCAGCCGGCTGTCAAGTCACAGTGACTGAAGGTGTACAAGAGAACAAGACGATCTGAAAGACTCACGTCTAACTCTGAACCTGACAATAGCAAACGCACCAAACCTTTCTCAAGCACACGTGGGATATGTCTGCAAACTGACAATCTTTAATGCCACACAAAACCCCTGATATTAAAAAAAGAAATTAAAAGTAACATACATTCTCTGTCTATAATGAAACAAAACAGAAAATTGACAAAAAGAAAAAATTACATTTGGGGGTACAAGAGGAAATAGGTCATGGAAGTACATAAATGCCTAAAAACAATAATGATGGAAACAGGATATATCATCAATGAATGCAGCCTAAACAGTGTCTCAACAAAGTTCCATTCTGGCTGGGCGCGGTGGCTCACACCTGTAATCCAGCCCTCTGGGAAGCAGAGCTGGGAGGATCCCCTGAGTTCAGGAGCTTGAGACCAGCCTGAGCAAGAGTGAGACCTCATCACTACTAAAAATAGAAAATCTAGAAACTAGATGGGCATTGTGGCGGGTGCCCGTAGTCGCAGCTGCTTGGGAGTCTGAGACAGGAGAATCTCTTGAGCCCAAGAGTTTGAGGTTGCCGTGAGCTGTGATGCCAGAGCACTCTACCCACAGTGATAAGAGACTCTGTTTCCAAAAAAAAAAAAGTTTCGTTCCATTAAATATTTATCCCAATAAAAACAAAAATAACTAAAAAGTTGACTCAAAAAGCAAAAAAAACAAAGACAATCAAAAGACAGTAGAAGAGATTAACAGTGTAAAAGAACTTAAAGTGTT